GTTTTTAAGACTCCTAAAAGGTAGACAAAGGCTTTTAGAGGTTGGATTCTCCATGACTCATTCATTCCTTAGCCCAATTATTTTAAATCCCTCAAGCGAGACAAAATTGAATCGGGTTAAAAAATAAATAGGCCTATTCGATTACCCATATCCCACCAACCACAGCCCATGCGAGTTCCCCGAGCGTAGTTTAGGTCCACGTATCGAGCCAATCTCGTCATGGGACAGAATCATTGGGTCTGGACTCTTGTACGGGCCTGATACAAAAATGACCCTCAACAAAACCCTATTTTGCATTCTCAATCCAATTTAACCTTTAAACAATATTCTAATTTTTTCTCAACATGAGAACTCCATGATTATTCCTTGACTTTGAGTCCTAGTTTCATCAATTTATACACACAATATCAATTCCCAAAAGCACCTTAAATTCTCATACAAAATCTCATAAATTTTCAATCCAATCAAACTCATACCGTAACAAGGATCTAGAAAGTTTATCCTTTGATCTCTTATGAATGGTGATGGCTAAACTCTCCTAGATCTCTTTCTCCTAAGAAATCTAATGTGTTTTGAGTGAGAGAAAGAGAAAGAAAGAGGGAGAAACGCTTTTTGATGAGTGTTTAGGTGATTTTTGGGTTATGAGGCTAAGTTAACCTTTTATATTGTGTTTCTAGTCTCAAACTTAATTTGGCGTGGGTAGGTGATCTAAGGGTCCAAAATTGATTTAGGGTTAAAGATTGAGTGATTGGAACTCAAAAACTCGCTGAAAAGTATTTTTCAGATTTCTTTTCCGTGGACCTAGTTACGCTAGGCCATGAGCACTGCAGCATCACTGGTGGATACCACGGCGCCCGTGTCTCGGGTTTCAGTGTATTCGGACGTCTGGTCAGTATTTTAATCATAACTTTTTACGTCAATATTAAAATTAAGTGATTCAAGTAGTGTTTGAAAGATAAAAAGGATCTACAACTTTGTGTAAAATATGTTTTTCCTAATTCAAACATTTTAAAGGTAAAACATGGCACATAAAGTAACATTATCACTATATGTTATATCTAACCTTAACGATCACAAAACTTATACCATATTATATACATGCATATGATCAATATATCACCATCTAATAATCAAACTTCAAAATTTGACATGAATTTTCTCAAGCATAAACGGTCCCTTACTCCGTCACCTATAACTTTACTCAATAAACTATTAAAACGTCATATCACATCATAATAAATCTCGAGTTGTTGACGTCTAAGTCCTACTAAACGCTATAAGTTTTGGTTTTTCATAAATCTAGCACGATAAGAATGATTTTGTTTAAATAGAGATCAATTAATATTAATACTTTATTACATTTCCCTTTACTAGATAAATCATCCAACCTCACATATTGGAATTTTATATCATAAATCTTTTTCTTTTCTTTATTTCTCTCACCTTTCTAATCCAAAAAAGTTACAGTTGCATACAATAATGTACCCATAAATGTTATATCAAATTTGAATCAAATTTGCATCAATCTATATTGATTGAAGTCTCGTTCACTTCGTGGATTTGAATTTTCAATTCGAGCTAAGATATGATATTTTTTAAGAGCTTTTCACTATAGCAGAAAAAATTAGATGTGACATTTTCTGAGAACTTTTTACTGTAGAAACCTAAAATTAAAAACTCGAATTAGTAAAATGAACGAAGCCTGACTATTTCTATTATATTGTTTCTAGAAAATACAATTATTTTTGGTTTTTTAAAAATTCATTTTTAATTTAATATAAAGTTGTAATTTTTTATTACTTAAAATTTCTAATTGAGTTTATTTATTAAGGTCATTAAACACCTTAACACCGTGATCATGATTGTGATGGTGACTTGATCATGGTCATCATAAATTGTCAAAAAAAAAAAAATCATCGTATTTATTTTAATTTTTGTTCATTGGGATCGTAAGAATATGTTGACAGAAAGACTTGTAAAACAAAAATTTGTACTCCTACGATCAAATTAGTAAAGATGGAGATAAAAGTGGAACAATAACAAAAATAAGAGAGAACGCTTATAGCATGTTTACTTAAAAGAATTGAGAAATAGAAGTGGAGAATGAGAGTCAATCTCATGTTTACTTATTTTTTTTATTTTAAAATAAAAGTGAAATTGGTAGGCCTCACTCAAAGTCAGAATTGAAAAATGAAATTAGTACTCTCATGTTTCCCTTGAGATTGGCTTTCTCATTCTTTATATTAACATTAAATTACTATCATACTATTATTTTACTTATAAATATAAAATTAAAATTAAAATCAAAAAAATAATAATTACAATATATATTTATTATTTTATTTACCTAATATTATAATATTACCATAATTATTGTTAATTTTTAATAGAATAAATATGTACTTTATTTGTTTAATAAATTAATAAATATATTTCAATTTTTTTAAACTATTTTTTATTTTTATTTAGTTTATTTAAATTTTTAGAATTAATAATTGTATAATTTA